CCGTCCCGCAGGCCCCGCCCACATGCACCTGCCTCCCTCAGCCCCGCCTCTCCAGCTCCCCCTAGAAGCCCGGCCCCCCTGACCCGCTTCTCAGGCTCTGATCCCTCAGCTCCCACCCTTTCTGGTTCACCTCCCTGGTCTCGCCCCTATATGATCCCTCTTTTCCTGGCCTGATCCAACCCATGGATTTTTCAATCACATACTATAAACCTGTCTCCATACCTTTCATTTTCTCCTTTCCATACCTTTCCAATCTATTCGCAGAACTGATCATTTGGAAGGCTGGAATGTAGCATCAGGATTGAAAGGAGACTCATCAAAAACCTGTTACACAGATAACGCAACCTTGCTTGCCAAAAATGAGGAGGACCTGAAGCATTTTCTGCAGAAGATCAAAGACTGCAGTCTTCAATATAGGTTGCAGCTCAACTTAAAGAAAACAAGCATTCTCACCATAGGACCAACTGGCAGCACCATGATAGATGGAGAGGAGACAGGGATTGTTAACAATTTCATCTTACTCAGATTCACAATTAACACTCTTGGCACCAGAAGTCAAGAAACCAAAAGCCAAATTTCATTAGGAAAGTCAGATTTCAGGGACCTCTTCAGAACGGGGAAGAGCAACAGTGTCAATCTAGAGACTAAAGGCACCTGATCCGGCCGTGGTCTTTGCATCTCGTTGCTATGCATCAGAGAGCTGGATAATGAGTAAGGCTGATAGAAGAAGGATCAATACTTTGAGTTGTGGTGTTGGAGAAGAATAATGAACATACCATGGACTGCCAAGAGAAAAAACAAGTTTGTCCTGAAGAGAGTGAAACCAAGTTACTCCCTGGAAGCAAGGATTTTGAAGCTCTGTCTCACATACTTTGGGCATATTACCAGAAAAGATCAATCCATGGAGAAGGGCTTGGTGCTTGGAAGGGTAGAGAGACAGCGCAGGAGAGGAAGACCCTAGATGAGATGGATTGACATAGTAACTGGGGTAGTGGGCATAGTTGTGTCTGGGATAGTGAGACTGACTAATGTTAAGGCAGGTAGGGTCTCTATGAGTTGCATTTGACTTGAGGACAAATAACAACAACTATGCATCCAAGAGCAGGACAGTGAATAAGGATGACAGAAGAAGCACTGATGCCTATGAGTTGTGGTCATGGATAAGAGTGCTAAGTGTCCCAGGAACTGCCAAAAGAACAAATGATGCCCTAGAGACAGTACAACCAGAGTGTTCCTTGGAGGCAGTGATGGTAAGCGTCATCTCGTGTGCGTTGGGCACGTTGGGAGAGGCTATTCCTTGGGAAAGGGCATCTTGCTTGGAAATGTGGAGGTCAGTGAAGCAGAGCAAGACCCTCAGCAAGGTGGACTGACAGTGGCTGCTACGATGGGATCATGGACATGAGGAGGACGATGCAGGAGAGAACGTGGTTTAGATCTGTTGTTTACAGAGCCGCCACGAGTCCTACTCAACAGCTCATAAAAACAACAACATCTCCAGGCCTGAATGGTGACAGGGAATGGCAAAGGAAAACACTGACAAAGGAGATCAGTCAGAACTGGTTTTGACACAGACTGTGGCAACATAACAATAAAAACAGACTCTCAAAGAATGCAGCAATATGACAATAGAAACAGACTCTCAAAGAATGTGGCAAAACGAGGGATCCATGCCCCATCAGCTGTGTAAACCCCACTCTACACTGGAAAAAGACATATAAACCCTTTTGTAAGATAAAGACGAGGCCTGTCCTGACCCATTCACAGTCTGTTGTGAACGTCTAATAAACCTCAGTTTCTTTCTCTTGCTCTCACCTGGTATTGGTGTCTTTCTTGTACATCCGAGTTAGAACTCTATAACTCTTATTCAAAGAGGCTCCTAGACCTCCTTTGGAAACCATCCCCTTGACAGATGGCACACTGATGACAGATGGCTCCACTGCATCTTTTGTGCTGGAGTTTGACACAAGGACTGAGACCTGAAAGGGGCAGGATCGAAGAAATGCTTATCAACAACCTGCATTATGCAGATGGCAGCCTTGCTTGCTGAGAGTGAGACCTGACATGTTTGCTACAGAAAATCAAAGACCACAGCCTTCAATATGGACTGCCTTTCAACATCAAGAAGACAAAAGTCCTCACCACTGGACTGATAGGCAACATCATGACAGATGGAGAATAGATTCAAATTGTCAATGATTTCATCTTACTTGGATCCTCCGTCAACACCTTTTGTGCCAGTAATCAGGAGATCAGGACGGCAAAGTTCTGCCCCACATACTGTGGGCCTGTCACTAGAAGAGGCTATTCCTTGGAAAGGGGCACCACGTTTGGAAAGGTGGAGGGTCTGAGAGACAGGAGAAGACCCTCAACCGGGTGACTTGACACAGTGGCTGCAGGGATGAGCTCAAGGGTGTCAGTGATGAAGAGGAAGGCCAGGAGAGGGCCGACTCCTAAACTGTTCACAGGGTCGCTGACTCGTATTCTACTCCAAGGCCCCTAACAACATTTACAGACAAGCCACGTGCCTTCTGACTCTGATGTTTCTAAAAGGATTCAGAAAAAGCCAAGGAACCCTGGGAGAAAAAGAGGGAGAAGGTACATTTAATGGGTAAATCATGGCACTAAAATGTGTTGTTATTCAAGTAAAATGGCCAACATTTCCTTTCTTTTAAGAGAGACTCTTAAATCCCAATTACTCCGCCCCCAAAGACTAGTTGAGAAAAATCCCAACTGGAGGGAATTAATTTCCTTAGGAATTTTGCTATTACAAGATTAATGGGCCCCCCCTGCAGAGAAACAGTAAAACTGTAAGTACAGTAGATTTGCACCTGAAGGACACATATTTTAATTTCTGTTCTCAAGCTGTGATAACATCTTCTCCAGCTCCTATAAAAAGCATCAATGAGCATCCGCATTTTTGCTGGGATATTTGCAAGACCAAGCTGGCAGGGAGCCCACTCCCCTGTCCAGGGTCCCCCCAGGTCCTGTTCAACTCCTAGGAACACAGGGGTCCTGGGGTGGGGGAACCATCAGGCCACAGGAGTGAGGGGTGAGGTGCAGGGCAGGGTGGGGAAGTGGGGGCTGTGCTGAGGGGTGCACAGAGGGGGCAGGGACCTCAAACCTGGGCTTCCCCAGTGGTGATCAGATTCCACCAAAGTGGGAACAGAATCCAGGCTCCTTCCTCACCGAGTGGCACGTGCCCTAGGCCGAGAATGGGACAACCCGAAAGATCGGGGTCATGAGCCCCAACAGAGTCATTCAGGGAACTCCCTCTTTCCTTTCTCCAGACAGTGGAACTTGGAGGGTAACAACGGAGGAAACAAAATGGTCTTTCTTTGCAGGATGGTTACCCAGGGCCAGTCTGGGCTACAGGGGCGAGTGTGGGCTCTGGGATCCTCTCTGGACCCCCTGGAACCCTCAGAGTGATCTCTGGACATAAGCCAGCCAGTTTCCCTGCCCCCTTCCTTGCCAGAAGCTGCTTTTATGGGAAGAACTCTATGTATATGCTTGCTATAAATGTTGTTTATGCTGTCATAGCCAGGTTTTTATTGGTAGTATTTTTGTTGCACTTGCTTGAGAAATAATTATTTTCAAAGAAAAGAAGAATTACATATCCAGTAAACTAAACAAGACTCACTGTTTATTAGGGCCTCTGACAGCTCCTCAAAGTGAAACGGGATTTCCAAGCCGTGAATGTACAATTTATGTTCAAGTTTATTTGTGAAACAGATTTCAAGACATACTTCATCTCAGCTCTGCCAATAAAAATACATTCCATTTCTTCTCAGAGGAAGTATGCTCTGTCTGCTGGGTTTCCCAGGAATCCCGTTCCCACCAGAAGATGAGGCCTTTTGGATAAGCATGTTGTTGTTGTTGTTGTTATGTGCCGTCGAGTCGCTTGCGACTCATAGCGACCCTATGTACAACAGCCCTAAACTCTGCTCTGTCCTGTACCTATTGCTCTGTCTCTGACACTCCCATCCCGATTACCCCAGTCACTGAATCAATCCACCTCATAGAGGGCCTTCCCCTCCTGCACTGTCCCTCCACACTACCAAGCATGATGTCCTTCTCCAAGGACCGGTCTCTCCTCACAACATGTCCAAAGTATGTTAGACGGAGCCTCAGAATCCTTGCTTCCAAGGAGCCACCCGGTTTAACCCTTTCCAGAACAAATCTGTTTGTTTTCCTAGCAGTCCATGGTAGGATAAGCATGTACCCACCAAAATAATCTAGCATTTGGTAGGATGTCTTGGAGCTGCTACATGGAAGAAAAGGATATTGTCCTATCCCTTCATAGCACT